ATATATATATATATATATATATATATATATATATATGTATACATAACATATCCAGCTGTAGCCGTTGTTTGTTTCCTCGCAGATAATTTAAATGCTAACGGTGACATATCATTGGATATATAATCGAAATTGGTGAAAGGACTCCGATGGTTTCAACCAATCAATGCCCAAATACTTTTCCTGGTGCCATCCATAAGGACGAGCCTTTAGTTTTTCATTGCTATGGTTTAGCACGAGCACGGTTTGCACCAACTGACCAACTGCTGGTGCTGCTTGCTGAGCTTGGAATTTTTTATGTTTTTTTCCCTCTAGTGCTCCTACTAGATGGCACCAGATGATTGATTGAGTTGAATTCGAAAAACACGCTATTTCTAAAGTGAAATATTAGAGCAAATAACATTTGGAAATAACAGGTTAAAATCACCTTGTTTTTTATTGAGGAGAGTTCAATATAAAGAAAGAAGGCTGCAATGTTTTTTATTTATTTATTTTCTTCAAAACAACAATTTTCTTAATATTACAGGCACTTCATCATCAAATTACAACTACCACCGAGTTATCGGGTTATCAAAAGAACTGGTAAATCCATATGGAACCGCCCACTGTCGTGAGTTTGTCAAAAGCATTCCATGTATAATAATCATATTATATATCGTTTTTTGCACATGAAAAAGACAATGATTGGAAAAATTTGAATGATATGATAATATTGACAATTTATTACTAATTTGATATTAGTAATGTTGTTGACTAAAATTTGCCATCATCAACATATTTCCAGTAGCGTGTTCATAGCAAACACCTGGAGATATATATATATTAGAGCCATCAGTGTTGTCTACCTGCTGACTAATTCTATTGATAACTACGTACAGCAGTGTTAGTAAGCTCTCAAAAGCTTCAAGAGAGAGGGATACAATACATGCCTGGAAAAAAGAGAGGTGGTGGAAGTACGCCCATTGGAGTGGGGGTACCTCCACCTCCACCGCCTCCACCAACATTCCCACTACCACTAGCACTGCGACCACTGCTAATATTCACGAAGCCCCACCGTTGCCGCCGTTGCCGCCGTTGCCGTGTATGTAGTGTCGTGTCGTTGCCGCGAAGCGTTCTCCAGGGAACAGCAGCAGCAGTTCCGCAGTTTTGCTGTGTATGTATGTACAAGCGGTGCGGGTGTACACCTACATGAAATTAAACTTGAAAGAACGAAAATTTAATCAAATATGTGCTCTAGAAAGGTTTTGTAAATGAAAGTGAAACGTAGAAAAATTTGTTCATGTGCCTGAGGGATTATTTCTCCATTATTTTAAGAAGAAAAAAATCACGGACTGAACAATTTAATGCTATTTACCGGGATTGAAGAAATGCGGCTTCTCTACCTTGTCGCAGGTGAGTAACATCTCAAATCTCTTGTTGAAAAGTATAGTTTCTGCCGATCCCCCCCAGCAGCGGGTGTGTGCTGCGTAATCTCGGCAAATCTCAATGTGTGGCGGGTATATGATATTGATATTGATCAATCGACAAAACACGCGTTTCGCTCTGATGGCTTCTGGATCATTGATCCATTTTCTCACGTAAAATTTATTATTGCATCTCTCATTTTTTGAGATAACAAGTTATATTGCTGATAAATATTTGAAGAAATAACAATCATTCAGATAGAATGACTCACCATACAGTTGCAATATCTTCTTTTTTCAACGTTTATTGCAGTAGACGTAGACGATGCGTGACAGGTGAAAAGTTTGGTGGAACGCTCAAGGGAGAACCAGAGAGCGTCGCCCTGAATCCACCTGATCGTGTCTACCTGCGATCTCACGCTGTTATTTTTCAGTGCATCTCATTCCACAATGGGAAAATGGGAAAATGCATTTGCATAATTTTTCACATTTTTCATAATTTCAATGGCGAATACTAACTTATACAATCCTCTTTAGTAGATATATTATAATATCGATCGATCATCTGTCGAGTGTCTCGTGTACTCGCCATTTTACCCCAACTTAGATTAAATGTTTTTCCTTCAATAACGTACTATCAAATTCAATACTTTATATGTATATTATTCCAACAAGTTGAGTATACACATACACGCTGAACGATGCGCATCGACGAGAACGCGTCATCCTCATTTCCCCTTCTATACCTACACCTGTAACTAATTCTCTTTCCATTTCAACTTATGCTCAGAGAATAAAAAAGTATTTTTATTTCTTTTCCCTCTCCTTTATACTTTGATTTTATTCTTTTGCTGGTGCATACATAATGTATATGACGATAAATAACACCTTCTCCTTCAATGTTTATCACCTTTACGTGCCAAAGATATTATATTTTTCAGTTTTTTAATACATTACCATCATATATGATGAGAAATACGAAATATTTCACTTAACTCCAGAAGCCACGCATGGCCGATTTAGGTAATACAAAACCGGTGTCAAGTTTACGGATTTAGGAATGTTCACTGTCTATCATTTCAGCTTTTTAATTTTTCCCTGCTCATCATGTGACAATTGGGCTAGGTCCAATTGAACAAATGATTTCTATGTCGCTTAATCAATATGTATATTCAACTACATACAAGAAAAGGATAACATTCAATAATTGTGCTTTAACCAACGTAGCTCCAATTAACTGTAATATTCTACGATGTTCGTTAGTCCCCCTCTATCCGCCCCCAAACTAATTAGCCGAATCATCGAACCTCGATACGTAGACGTACACAAATAAATGAATAGATATAAAAATAAACATGAAACTGATTGGAGTGTCGAATAAGAGATATTGTCCATTTATTTCAATCTTTCCGTGTCTATTCATCCGATTAATTGGAATACCATTTTAATTATTCTTGTCTTCGGAGATTAAATTCGATGTTAGTCTCAATTGTTGATCGGCTTGTTAAGGCATCAAGAAAATATATACTACCGAATCACCGTATTAGGATCCTAGAAATACCAAAGTTTTGCCATTTTTCAATGTCTTTCCTATAATTGCAAATTGCAATGTTGAACAAAATATAGAGGAGGTTCTCTCATCATCATCTGTCCTGTGCTTTTATTATAGAGTAATATGTCTGACTTACTCTAGCAGCATCACCTTGCAAAAATCATTTTCAAAGAAACATTGCATGCATGGACAAAATTATTAAAATTTTAATAATAGTTTTTCAACACACTAAAATTTTTACCACCGTTTCACGCCGGTGACGGAGGGAATACCTTCAATCTGTTCAATCACATTAGAAGCCTTAGATAATTGTTTGGATTCTCCTAAATTGACTTCAACGATTCAAATGTTTCGTATGAGAAACATTCACTCCTCCATCATAATAAAAAGATATAAATATTATTAAATATTAAGTGTTAAATGGTGCATTAAACTATGCGCTTAGTGAAATTTGTCATCGCTTGATTGTAAATTTTCTCTTAATATCCATTAATGAAACCATTGTTGAGGAAATACAATAGATAAACTCATGTACATTTGCATCGTTGACGGCAATTGTTCCATAATTATAAAAACATGCATGCATGTGAAACTAATCCAAGAGACTTTTTCATTTTAAACAATTAAAATGCTTGGGAAGTAAAAGTTTAGCAGAATGCTAAAGGAATATCATGTTACATAAAAGAGGAATGTCGAGTTGAACATGAGGAGAACCTAATAAATGAAACTCTTGAGTTGAATATCTTTTTTTTTTTAAATTAAATTACAATCGCTCAGAAATAGTATAATACGGTGTTGGATGATCCGAGCTCTAATTATCCCGACTGTAGCTTTAGGTCGGTGTCAATCAATCAATAGTCTGTGAATAATAAAACCACCTAAATATAATGCGGTGAATAAAAATGTAAAGTTATTGGAATTGCAATTCTAATAGAGGAAGAGAGGGAATGATCTCCGCCCACTTTATCCTACTGCTGTACGAGACACGTCTATTATGTCTAGATTACGCTCCTACTCGTCTCAAGGATCTTTGACTTTTGAGAGTCACTGAACATTCACTGAAGAGAATCTGTCCTGATGAGAATACTAGCGACTCGCAGCGAACTCAGTTGAAATGTTATTTCATATTCTAAACTGAACAATAACTTTTTCACTCCCAATGTAAAAATCATGCATCACTATCAGGCGTGGCTGGTAGTGCGACATACTCACTTTACTTTTGAATGGATTTAATAGAGAAAAGTAACAGGCTAAATTTCCTACTTCTTACCTTCAAGAGATGTGATAAACATCAAGCGCAAATCCGTTTCAGTTGGATTTGCACTTATCCCTGTCCTCTATTATTACTCACCTGATTTTCTTCTCTTCTTTTATTATTTTTTCCCCTTAATCATTATTTCCCCTTAATAGGAAGGAAGAGCCATCATAATTAGCTTTATGATAGCTCCTTTGAAAGAATAGATCAATTGATGAGTCCTTCTGATATCCTACAAGTGGAATGCAACGTTTGTCCTGTCATGAAAAATCAATATAATATATTACATTTTATATTGAACAATAGAATGATTTCTCATCAAGTAATAAATTTCACAATGACAATGTAAATCAGCAGGTATTTTTTATAGCAATATTTACGCAATAGATAATGCAAAAAACTTTCTCATATTGCACATGTGTGTAGTATACATCCGGCCGGATATGTTGTTGTATTTGAAATTAATGAGAAATTGCAAATTCCATTGTAAATGAAAAGGAAAATTTACCAGACGAAATGATTTCCAATACTTGAACCATCTTCTTATTGTCATCTTATATTTTTTCCTCCTAGTTTTTCTCGCTGTGACACAAAGGGATTTCGATGCCTGGTAAGGCGTGGCGAGGGTCGGAATTCTGTACTGCATATATATATATATATAGTGATAGTGTTTTCAGCATGGATGTTGAGTCACGTTATTTACTCCTCTTAGTTCTGTACTACACCTCTAGTGTACTCTCGATTCACCCACCCATTATTTTGTAACGGATACCGAGTAGTTGGAGAAAGGAGTCAAGGAACTCTGATGAATTCATTTGAGAATCTCTCTCGCGATTTCAAGCCGCAAGTCCTCATTTTCATGCAATTGCTATGACCAATTGATCGAAATATGTAAATACATCATGTATGACACTCAACAGTAAAAACTGGTTCGGTGAATACTTGGAGTAAAAGTAGCAGCATTTGATTTTTCATAACAATTTATTGCAACAAGAGATCGCTTCTTGAAGAAATAATTGAGCATATAACGTGACTTCCGGTCATTTTCAAGTTTCTGCCAATAGATATATACTTTTTTTTTTTAACAATTCTGGACACGTCCGTTGACTGTCATTCATATACAGTCTTCTAGAATTATATAAAAGAAAAAAGAAAAAAAAAGAGAGAGAGAGAGCAAGATCACGGTCAATAAACGTTTTTTCTTTATTCCCGATAATTGACTCACCTATAGGACTACTGGCACATAACACTTGTGTTATTTATATAAAATATAGCCCTGAATGAGCAAACAGAGGATGATTTTTATTTCACAGTTGTGCTGTGCTGTCTAATCCTAGACACACAGCAGCTACCTCAGACAACGATACATGCAATAAATGAGGAGCAGCAGCCGCGTGAAGCATATTTTAATGGCACAGCATCACTGAGGCTAGCATCGACGGTCTCAGTTCATCGCCACAGTGGTTTGAGCTTCAGAACTTGTGATGGCGGAAGATTATTCCTCCAACGGTACAATGACAATGAAATAAGTCTTGACGTCACACCGGATGGACTGATATTCACGGCCATTATTGAGAAACAAAAATATGAAGCAAAACTCAGCGCTCGATTACTTAATAATGTATGGCACAATGTAAATCTATTCTTCAGACTTGGCAATCTCACGCTTACTGCAGCTGGACATACACAGGTGATTTATCACACAATATTCTTTTTTTTTTCTTTTTTTTTACCCAATACTTTCGGTCCATTTTTTCACACAAGAGCTGCTATTAATAATTAAACACATGTATTTTTCCAGATTGTTGCTAATGCCACATATAATTCAGCGATTCTCATGCTCTCCGACTACAACGTAAATGGCACGTTGATAGTCGGCGAAGGCTTCAAAGGATGTATTCTCCAGGGACCCGGAATTCTCTTCAACAATACTGTCAATTACGGTGCTGTACTCGGTACCTGTCCTTCGGATACTAGAGGATGTATGTTTAAATTTTTATTTTTTTCTCTCACACACATATATTCCAAGATTTCAACTGTTAATAGAGATTTCAGTATAGCACTATTTAGAATTTCATTCTCTGTGTGTCATTAGCAATTTGTGTGTGTGTGTGTGTTTTTTTTTTTTCGTTTTCGTCTTTTCACCGAAAATCTTCTAGGTGGGCCGAATAGCCTTGCCGGCAGTCTCACTGCAGCGACGTCTGAGATGGATTTTTGTCATCACGAGCCATGCATGATGCATGGAAAATGCGTATCACGACAGGACCGTTACGAGTGCCAGTGTTACGCCAGATATTCTGGCAAAAACTGTCAAATTGACAATGGTAGATAAATTTACAGGAAAAAACAAGAAAAACTTTGTTCATGGTTGAAGTACCACGGCAGTTTCCGCCTATCAACGACTCGTTGAATTTCTTAGTGTTTGTGATGTGGTTTGAATAAACATACTAGCTTCTATTATCACTTTCGTCTTTATAGCTGCTCTCATTACACACCAGTGCTTTCCTTTTTCAATGCAAACAGTACAAATCACTTATTGATCAATAAATACACAGGTTCTCCGTGTAAAAACAATCCCTGCAAAAATTCGGCAACATGCAGTGAAGATGATAAGGGCGATTACACGTGCATCTGCCCACCTGGTTGGACTGGACATCTGTGTGATTCACAATTGGGTGTTCGTTTTTGTAAAGAGAATCCATGTAAAAATAAGGGAGTCTGTCTTGTTATGAGCGATACCGAATACAAATGCGAATGTCCATCAGGATGGACTGGAAAAACATGTGAAATTGATGTAAACGAGTGTACATCAAATCCATGTAAGAATGGAGGAATTTGCATTGATGGAATGGATAATTATACCTGTAGATGTGAAAGTACAGGGTGAGTACGACTAATTAATATTATTACTCATAGAGATATGTTCATAGAAGCAAAAAAAAGAGAGACAGAGAGAGAGAGAGAGAAAGAGGAAAAAAAGAAAATACAATCTCCTTATTATTTATAGGTACGAAGGAAAAAACTGTGAGGTGAATATCGATGAGTGCTTGAACAACAATCCTTGCTTGAACAAGGGAAAATGCTATGACAACTATGGTGGATATGTCTGTCACTGTCCCGAGGGTTTTGAAGGCCAAAATTGCGAATTAAATCTGAATGAGTGTTTGTCTGGTCCCTGCAAAAATGGAGGAACTTGTGTCGATGATGTGGGTACATATCACTGCAATTGTATATCTGGATATGCTGGCCATCATTGTGAACGTCGTAGTTTATGTGAGAATGCAGCATGCCCACCGAACAGCATCTGCTTGGATATTAATGGAGAGCCACAGTGTGTATGCAAGCCTGGTTTCATGGGTAATCCACCCAATTGTAGTGTTAATTACTGTGCCAGCAATCCATGTGTCAATGGGGGCACCTGTACAAGTGATAACGATGGATACAATTGCACCTGTACAGCTGAATGGAAAGGTAAATGAAATTTTTATTTTATCAGTAAGCATGTATGTGTTTCTGGCTTTGTTTCTTTATTCTCATTTATCACAAATCACAAATATCACAGGATCATCCTGTCATATACCTGTGTCTGACTGGTGCTCCGTATGCTATAACGGTGGCACATGTATTGAAACAAATTATGGTACAATGTGTCAATGTCCAAGATTTTGGACTGGTCCGCAGTGCAAGGAACCAGTGACATGTCGCGATCTACCATGTAGGCAGGCAACCTCCTGTCATGATTATGTAAGTGTTTTGCTATATATGTTGCTGGTGCTTTATGTTGGTTTATTGTATGTGTGTGTGTGTGTGTGTGTGTGTGTTCATCATATAATTATTATTGTTTGTAATTAGCCGGGAGGTTATTATTGTAATTGTGAGGCTGGTTGGACTGGGCCTGAATGTGCCGTTGATATCGACGAATGCACGAGTGATCCTTGCCGTAACGGAGGAATTTGCATTGATCAGATCAATACGTATTGGTGCCAATGTCTGCCTGGTTATACTGGTAATTGGAAAACAAATCATTAGTCATTAGCTGTTGGTGGTGGTAGTGGTGGTGGTGTTGCTGCTGTTGGTGCTATTGCTCTCATCAATATCAAAATTTAATCATACATTTTTTTTTT